GTTTGAATGCTTCAAACGCATCTGTATTTGTGTTAATTCAAAGAGATTCATAGAAGGTTGTACAATCCTACAGTCGAGCTGATCCCCAACGCAGAGCTGCTGAAAACAGTAAAATTTCAGCTGCAGGCTATAAGCAGGTTTATGCTCGCAGTCCTCAAATCAAGGCGGTGGCTTGGCCAGCGGTCCAGGATTGGGGCAGCCAAAGGGATCCATGCTACACTTGGGATGAAGTTTAGCATTTCTGGCGCCGAGTAGCACAAGCAAGCTCGGTGCAAATGTCTCTGCTCAACTCCAGCAACACGGCCCGTTTCAAACGCACACCACGCTGAGCTCCGCTGACCCCCCAGCCCTGCCAAAACGAGGAGCAAAACTTGCTCCAGCCCAGGACTTCACCTTTGCTGCGCGAGAAGCTCGGCCGCTGCGCTCGGCTCAGGCTGTGCAATACTTTCATCTTCTTCCTCCACCTTTTTCGGGTCAGTTCTGGGGTACAGGAACACCCTGAAGAGCTTAGACCTCGCCCGCTCGAAGGCAGACGCGGTCTCTGCTGAGAGCTAGTAAACACGACGACGTCTTCAGAGATCGTGGGACGGGAGGGTGCTGAGGGAAACGGCCGTGAAGTGCAAGCCTGGTGTAAAACTCTCCTGGTCATCTGGCCCAGGCCATGGCTGGAACAGGAGGTGAGATCAGCTGGACTAAGGCTCCTCTTACGGCCTTAAGCCCTCAGACCACCAAGGCAGAGGGAAAAGCCGGGTCTAGTTCCTGGCACACACAGCCCAAACGACAGGCTTGGGATCTGTGACACGAGCATGAACATTCATTTCCTGCAGGAACCCGGCGTTATTACCAAATACTGATCTCTGCTAGCCCTCCCCCCCAGGCGAGGCTATCAATCAACCTTCTTTCACTCATATTTGTTATCTTCCTTGTCTGTTAGAGAATCATACCTGACAATTGTATAGTTAATCTCTTGGCAGCTGTGAAATGAAATGGTAAGCTCCGGCTGCCTTCAGAAGATGCATTGATTTCTTAAAATGACAGATTGCCTCCTCCCTTGATGTTCAAGCAGAAGCTCAGGGCTGGCGTTACAGATCTTGCCTATCATTCAATTAAAAAAGCTTAGCAGAGATGCGCCAGCTAAGCGTACAAGACAGCATTAAGGCTAAGCCCTGACCCAAAGATTTAATCGCAGGGACTACGAAGGCACCTTCAGACGCAGACGCCTGTCCGGTTTGCTGATGCACACGCACCGGTATTGAGACCAGACGAGCCAGTCTCCTCTCCACGATTAAACAGCTGACTGGCCAGTCCTGCAGCAAAGCAGAGCAGGAAAATCCCTTCTTACCCAAAACGAAGTTTAATGCGTTTAATGGTGCAGTTTATATCCTGTTTCAACGCATCTCTTTAATACGGATTATGTGTTTAAGTTAACAAAACTCCTGACACTGTGAAACAGCCTCAGTCTCGCTGTGGAGAACAAAGCACTGGAGTATGTCTGGCTTCAGATGTAAAGACTGAAATATTCACCTTCAAAAAGCGAAAATATCCCTGCCCCACAGCATGCCACAAAGCCCAGTAGATCCCATTAGTACCCCAGGACCACCTGTGCTTTCCTGGGCGAATATTCACATCTGCAAAGCAGCAAAGAGCAGAGCTGAAGCCTGGCTGTGGGCACCCCGGACCTGCCCAGGCTGGGCTCCGCGCTGCTCCCCGGCAGAGCAGCAGCGGGGTGCTGGCGATGCTCAGGAATTCAGGGCAGGGTCACTCACAATCCTCCTCCCAGAAATGCTACACAGGGTGACTCGGAACCCCAGTGAGGTAGAGTGAGAAACAAGGCAGCCGTGCGTCGGCGCGGCCACCTCGCAGGGTGCAGGGTGTCGCTACTGTGACCGGGGAGGGAGCCAGTTTTTCTGCTCAGTGCTGTGCTGGCCGCACCTTGCTCTGAGCTAACATTTACCATTTTCTGGCTGTCCTGCCTTTGCTCCTTCAGCTCTGTCTGCAGGGACCCTTGGCTCGAAGCCTCGCAGTTCACCGCTGAGGTCTGGGCTCTGCAGAGAGAACCAAGTTTTAAACCAGCCCACAGTGAAGCAGCTCAGTTAGGCAGCCTTGGAGCCACACATAAACCACCGAAACCGCTGCCTAGCTCCGTGGAGCAGAGATGAGACATGCCGAAGGAGCAACGGGAACGTCTCGCACAGGGAAGCAAAGCTTTGGAAATCGTGTTTTGGATGCGCCAGTGATCACAAACCTCAGATCGTGGTCCTTTCCGTTTAGCACTCCTGCAGCCCTGTCGTAACAGCAAGGGCACCCGATGGGAGTGGAACAAAACGTGCCTGTGGAGCAGGAAGCACAGAGCCCTCGGCCCCTCTGCTCTGCTCCTCCGGGACGACGGGAAACTGCCCCGGCAGAGCGCTGGGCTGGGGTCAGAACTGCTCCCGCCTCGCAGCGCCCGACGCCCAACCCAGGGATCGCACTGACCCTCACCCTGGTCCCGGCGCCGGGAGACGCATCACACTGCGATTACGGCAGCCAGGCGTCGTGTGCCCGCTCGCTGTGGGCGACCTGAGTCACGGCTTTCGGAATAAAACCAGACGCCTGCTAATTCAGCGGGCAGAGGAGAGCCCAGTCACTCTCCTCTCCCCACACGTGGGGCCAACTCCCCTTGGGTGCCACCGAACCCATAGGGACCCGAGGTACCACATTTCCCCAGGGACTGGAGGGTGAAGCGGGGGGTGGCTGAGGCGCAGATTACTGAGATTGATGGAGGGGAAGGGACAAATGATTTAGGGGCTTACAGTCCCGTAGACAGCTGGGGTATGTCCCCACAAACCACGGCTGCCAAGAGCAAAAAGCATCACGGTGAAAAGCAGGGGCTTGGGGGAGAGTTGGTGGGTGCCGGGGGCTCAGCCCCGCCAGCCGGGGCACAACTGGGTGATGGAAACCGACCGCAAGGAGCGGGAACAGCGCCCGCGTCCGCACGAGAGGCCAAAGCCTCGGCCTTGGGAGGTTTCCCGGCGGCTTCCCGGGGCCTGTGCCGTGGTGGGGGCAGACAAGGCCCGGTCCCGGCACAAGGCCCGCTCCCGGCACAAGGCCCCGATCCCGGCACAAGGCCCGGTCCCGGCACGAGGCCCGGTCCCGGCACGAGGCCCGGGTCCCGGCACAAGGCCCCGATCCCGGCAC